GGTTCAAGAAGCGCCTGAATGTGGCATTTGGGGACGTGGTTTAGTGGCCATGGTGGGGTTGGGTTGATGGTTGGACTTGGTGATCTTGGACATTTCTTCCAACCCTAACGATTCTGGGATTCTGTAACATGTACCTTCGCATTTTATTCATCACTTAATAGAATATAATTTTCCATAAATGTATGTACGTCCTTAGGTTATGTATTCTTAGAAATTATTTCCACTATCAGGTCTTAATAACTGTGTCTTTGGCATAATTATGCTTATGAAGTCATATGAGCTCTGAAAGATGCTTCAACACAAAACTTTTCAGGTTGATGATACTTGACGTGAGGTTCTGTGCTGTGGGATCACAGCGTGGTACATCATTGGGGGAACTGTGCCTGAGTGATGAAATAAGTGCACTGATTTTCAGCTGCTGCAAGGAATGCACATCCCGACTGACTCTTCAGGCAAGAAAAGTAAGACCCACCAAGGAAACAGAAATATGACCTTAAAAATCCCACATGGGGTGCCTTTGAATGGATGGGAAAAGCCGGTCAAATGCAGACTGTTCAAGCACTGGTTGCTTTATAAGCCTAAAAAGGTGAGTGGGAGATGGCCAGAAGAGATAGAAAGCTTTGTCATGGTCCTTAGCCTCATTACTAGGGGTTTCCATATAATTTAAAATCTATTTATCATTTATTATAGTGCCCATTACTCTATAATGGATAATGGGATCCCCTTCTGCCAGAGGCCATGTGCTGATTCATCCTTGAATGTCTCCAGTAAGGACTGCAGCTCTTAGATATTGTCTTTATCAGACATTCAGGGATCATCTCTGTGTCAGGGTAATTGTGGGCACCGAGGGAGAGATGTGTAGCAAGTTGAATTGCCACTGAAATTGGGAATAACAACTCCTTAACACTGGGTGTATGAAATAGTAGGCAGTACTTTATTCAGTGCCGGGTACATGGGGAATACCTCTGCCTAGCATGCACGCCTAATGCCAGTTTTCTTGTAGTATTTCTACACAAAAGTTACAAAATTAAACACTCCCAATTACAATGAATGGTTAGAAATGTAAATATTATTATAATACCTGCCAGTTCATTCTCTGACTACACTGTGCCTGCACAGGGTGAGGGTTTTCACCTGAGCAGGGGTCATTTTGAAGTCAGTTTGCCCTAGGACACCTGATTTTCTACTTCCCGTGCCGAGTCTGTGATTAATTCAAGGACAACTTAATTATGTCCATTATTTCTTACAGACTCATAGAAACTCTTTCTGTTTGATTCAGTGTTGGATGACCAATCTTCACTATTTCTTTGTTAGCAGATATTATAGCAACCATCCGAACTGAAGCTATGGCTCCAGATGGGCTATCCATCAACGTGCATACATCTTAGTTAAAATACAGATTCAAAACTAAAGCTACAGCTACAGGAAGATGAGAGGGGTGGGGGAAAGGTGTTTTAAGATGTAATTTTTATTGCTCATTATCCTGCTCTGATTTGATTGGTGATAAATTAAACTAATTTCCCCAAGTCAAGCCTGTTTTGGCAATTGGTGAGTGATCTCCCTCTGTCCCTATCTCAACCCATGAGTCGTTTGTTGTATTTTCTCGCTAGTGTCCAGCTGAGGGAGCGATAGAGTGGCTTTGGTGGGCATCTGGTGTCCAGATAAGGTCAACGACCCCATTACCGTTATCAGCATTGTACCTTGAGAAGAATTTTTACACAAAACGTATTAGCTGAAGGATTTTAACCTTGTCCTGTGATGCATTTTCACACAGGAAGTATTGAATACTGCTCACTGTTTAGTTAAGATGTTTTTGGCCATTGATTTTTTAGTGTATTTGCCACTGTAAGCCACTTCCAAAAATCTCTGAAGAAGCAGGTGGAGGACCAAGAAGACGGGAAATCCATGGAGTAGTCAATTAAGCGGAGGTCATAAATGAAGCCCTTTTCAAGAGGCATCATCAAGGACTTGTCTGAAAAGAGGAATTTGCAGAGAAGGAAGCAGGTGTCGAGTTCCTTTTGGCAGCTGGATGCTTAAAAGACTTTAAAATTAAAATCTACCTGATGTAAAGCTCAGGACACGGAGAGGTTATGCCTTAACAAGTGGAAAGGGACACTTATGGGTGGGATTTATGACTCTCATGCCGTAGGGACAGTGCAGAAGGGACATACTGATGTGACAAAGTTTGGCAGGATTTAGGACACTGGCAATGGCAGTGAGGAGGAACTTGAGGATGATTTTGGAGCTCTGTACTCAAACAGCTGTCTGTCTTCCGCAGCCTGCTGTAGAAAAATAGAGGGTTTGAGGCATTAGGAAAGCAAAGGAAGTGCAAGAGCCCAGATTTTGATCATAATTACAGCCAGGTGGTTCTGAAGTGACTACACCCGTGTCATTGAAGTTCCACCAGTGCAAAACTTGTGAGGGAACTGAATCAAGCCCTTTGTTTTCTTGCATTTGTGCACCAAAAGAGCACTCTAACAGCTCTTAGTAAATAGTAAATTAATAATGATGTGATGATCTCCCTTATGACTGGAAGAAGTATGGAAAAATTAGTGTAGGGCAAGAATTTGCTTGCAAGATACTTTGAATGTGTCATTTCTGGATTAGTATCAGATATATGCTGCTTTGCTGGACTGATTCTAGTTTTTTATTTCAAACATCAGAAATATCAAATTTGGTCAGTTAGGATGTGGTGAACAATACGAAGTGTACTTGAAATGAATGAGACCTCTGGTCTGTTCACTGCAAGACACTTTTAAATCCCCAGCAGAAAGTAGCAATGAAGCCAGCTAATGAAAGCAAGTGCTTTTGCTGTCTCCCCGCTGCAAAGCAAATAATATTTTAGTAGTCGGTTTTGTTTGTGTTCCCCCATTTGTGCCTCAGAATACACCAGATTGTGATGTTACATCACATTTTAATGACTGGAACCATGTCCTGAGATCTCCCTCTGACCACACCACAACTTCCTTGTTTCTTCCTCCCTCCCGGCTACAGGACTGTATGTAATTACACCGAGGATATAATTCAATTAATTATTGACAGGACACGTAATCACCACACCGATCGCTCTCTGATAAATCTCCTCGACTTCTGTTTGTCGCACACCAGGGAGGTGGCAAGGCAGTAAAAATGAGTTTAAAAGATAAGATATTTCTCAATCATCTGTATCAGACAGAGAGGCTTCTGCCGCCCTAGGCTCTTTAGATGTAAAGGATATTGTTCTCGGCTGTGCTAAACAAATGTCCCCGTGAAACCTCAGTGGGATGGAGGCTTATGATTCATTTCTAGTGGAGAATATAATAGGAGCAGATAACTTTGATTTGTGCAAAGTGTGATCTCTTTCAGGGATTCCGGGCATTCACAGCAATTTCTTTTTTTTTTCTTCTTCTGCTGATTAAAGTGATAAATGAGAGCTCTGTGTTCTCTTTAAAGGAGGAATGTAGCTTTAGAAAGCTGACTTATTTAGAAAAAAATAATTGAAAAAAGAGAAAAGAAATCATGACCTCCTATAGCCTTTGACCAAAATCTGCTAGTAGCAGAAAGGAAAGATGAGGCTGTTTCTGGATCTACTAACCCCAAGTGAGGACAGTGACCATTTCTGCCCGCATGACCGGAAAATGTCCCGGGGCCGGGCCGGGCTGGGGACTTGCCCGGGGCTTGCCCGTAATTTTGGATTACTACTCCAGCGCTGCTGAAAGCGGATGAGAATAAAAGAGATAACGAGGTGAGCAAGCAAAGAAGGGCTTTATTGTCAAGTAAGGAAAACTAAACTCTGAGAGAGGAAAAATTAAAAGAAAGTAATTGCCTGGATGGAGGCTGCGCTCGCAACGCGGTGCTGGCGCTGAGGGCGGGCGGGAGCCGGTGCTTGAGAGCATCGAGTCCAACCATAACCTGTCCACACTAAACCATGTCCCTGAGCACCTCATCTCCCCGTCTTTTAAATCCCTCCAGGGATGGGGACTCCACCACTGCCCTGGGCAGCCCCTTCCAGTGCCTGGTAACCCTTTCAGTGAAGAAATTTTTCTCAATATCCAACCTAAGCCTCCCCTGGCACAACTTGAAGCTATTTCCCCATGTCCCATCGCTTGTTCCTGGGGAGAAGAGACCGATTTCCCTTGCTACCCTCTTCTTTCAGGGAGCTGTAGAGGGCGATAGGTCTCCCCTCACCTTCTCTTCTCCAGGCTGAACCCCCCCCAGTTCCCTCAGCCACTCCCCATCATTTTTGTGCTCGGTTGCCCTGAGCTCCTCTCCCTTTGCTTTCCACGCACGACGGGCGTGGGTGCAGGAAGGGCTCTAAGGGGGCTGCTCCCTGGGTCAGCACCTCCACCCGCTCCGTGGAACCCGGAGCCTCCGTCGAGGGCGATGAGCCCAGGGATGAAGCGAGCCCACTCCAGGCTCTCCCCCGCTGCTCCAGCATCACAGGAGGGGCCCGAGCCTTGCCCAGCCCGCTGCAGCCCCAGCCCGGCCGGGCTCCCGCTCTTTGGCTGCACAGCCGGACGGGTCGGGAAGCGCGAAGCGGGCACCCGAGCTCGATCTTTCAACTCCTCAGCACAACCAGCCCCGTTGTCAGAGTCGCTGCGCTCCGCGCTCCCCCCCCGGGGCGGGGGCGGCAGGGGGGAGAAGGGGAGCGAGGAGCGGGGTCGGAGCCGCTGGTTTCGCCGTCAGAGCCCCCGGTGCTGCTTTCTTTGTGAGGGGGGCGGCGGGAGCGGTTACGGTGCTGATCTAAACCGTGAATATTGAGGGACAGGGACGTCGCAGGGACGGGGGAACACTGTCATGGGCAAGGCAGGGGCTTTAATCCACTTACAAACGGCTTTCTGCAGGTTTAGCTTAGCACCTGGGGGGAATTCAGTCCCCCAGCTGCGGAGAGACCCCGGCTTGCCTTTCCTTCGGGGCGTGCACCCCTCTCCAAAAACTTAAGAGAGGGCCTGAACAGCCCGGGCGTCTCGTCCCGCTGCTGTCGAGGACAAGGAGGCGCTCGGAGCCAGCGCAGGAGGGGCTTAAAGCCCCGCTTGGTCCTGGGCTGCTCCGGCGGCTGTTGCGGGATGCTCACCTTCACCTGGGGTGCTCCGGGGGAAAGGGCTCTGGCTCTGGCCCCGCGATGGGGCGACTCTCCCGACCAGGACGGCTTCCCTTCGCTTGTTTTTATTTGATTTTATTTTTGGCCGGGATTCACTTGCCTGCACAGCACCGGCCAGCCCTGTACCTTCGCTCTCCAGCCCTGCAGCGCAGAGTCCTCCGGGACGGTCTCTACGGCCACCGAGGTGTCCCCTTCCCCGGGACCTCCGCCGGTTTGGGTGTTTCCCCCCCCGGGGACGCCCAGTACCCCCCCTCCTTCTCCTTCTCCTGCCGCCCCCCAGCAGCGCATCTTCGCCCGCCCTCCTCGGCTGCGGGGATGAGGGGGATATTGCGAGCTGGGCAAATGGGACAGGGATCGAAGCGGTCTGAAGATAAAGAGGCAGACAGGGTTAGACATGTGTTTACTCAACCTTTATTATTTAAAAAATTCATTAAAAAAAAAAGGTGAACGAACGTCTTACAAAACCCCCCCACATAAATAGGACATTCCGTTCAGCTTTGGCTATTGGCAGTTCTAGTACTTGACAACATCAGACGCGATTTCCTGGCATTAGAGAAACCCATTTCAAAATCGGTCATCACAAAGAAATACTAGAAATCCCAGTTAGCACTTGCTAGGCAGCACGGAGCACTTGTACACAACTTTTCAGACACACACCCGAGCACACACGCAGCTGGGAACAGATCCCGTAGGAAGAGAGCCTCCTAAAAAGTAAACGCTTCAAAAAAAAAAAAAAAAAAGAGAGAGAGGAGAGAGAGAGAAAAAAAAGAGTTATTTACAAAACGCACATGGAAATACAGTATTGACAGAGCGTGGCTGGCAAATCAACATGATTTGAATAGAGAAAGGACTATGGCACATCTCACTGGAAAGCTCGCACAGCAGCCTCCTTCGCGCGTCCCCGGGGGGGGAGCAGCCCCGCC